AGACTCTGTCAATCCTAAATCCTAGCTTACATCTCAGCAGAGGTACTTAACATGCACACAGATTCACTGGTGCACAACTCCACACACAAATGGTAGTACACAGGAATACATTCTTTTCTTGTAATAAGGGAATGCTGCATGGTAAGTCCATTAAATTCCATGTGGCCACTTGGAAAAATGCAATTCTGTTTCCAAATGATTTGTGAATTGTAAAGGTAAGTGAGACTTGTTGCTCACACCAGAAGACATGTCTGTGGAAGAGAAGTATCTCTCAGTGTGAACAAGTACAGCTACATGTGTGAATATTATTTCAATGAAAAGGTAAATTTCAGACTATCCTAGGGAGTGGAGAAATGGATTCCATTTCATTCCATCTTTTTAACAGCAGATTGGACAGAATACAGCAGCAGGAGATTTCTTTGTTATCCAGTACTGGTTAGGTGGAGGTAAAATTTTCAGTTACCACCGAAGTGTTATAATAAAATGTTATTGTCATACTGGATTGCTTTTGGGTGCTTCTTTCTGTCCCCTTACTTGGTTCCTTTCTTATGGAGCAGAAGAAAGAACAGAAGAGCAATCTGAATTAAAGTAATGACTTTACTAAATGTCATGCTTCAGCACTGCATGTTTCAGGACTTTCAGGGCAGCAGAAGTGAATAGAGACTCCGCAGTTTATAAAAGAGTCCTTTGACCTCTAGCATCAGAGCTGAAGACAAGAAAATATCGTACTCTAAGAACGTAGTAGTGAATATCTTTCTTAGATTGTAAGTTAATGCAAAACTGACAAATTTGTCCATTAGATAAATATTTTCTACATTTTGGAAAGCATATCGGTGGATTTCATTTTCATCTGCTGTGTGGGAAGTGGGTTCACAGGATGCATTTGTAAGAGAACTAACAAATAAAGGATTTTTTGGCTTGCTGACTCCAATTTTCTGCCCCTATTAGCAATCATGTCATATAATCCTCTTCAGTTATTTGTGAAGCTTCAACTTGAAGCTTGAAACTAGATGAGTTTATGCCTCCATTTTAATTCCCTATGAGGAAAGAAATTTTAGATAATGACAGTACCTTGTTTTATTCTCTTCTGGGATGGTTATTTCCAGTTTAGTTTCCTGATAAAAGTTAGAGTTTGGGTCAACTTTCCAAATCGCTAGTGTCATGTAGGTCACCACAAAATATCAATCTGCTAGATAGGAAACAGTGAGAGAGGAAGTCCCTGACTTTGAGTTAGCCTCAAATTTTTGCCCCCTCCCCTGTTCACATTCTTGTGTCCCCAAGGATGACACTCATTACTGAGGTGTGCAGATGGACTCCCACAAGCCCCATAATGCCAACTCTCAGCACCATTCTGCCTAGCTAGCACTTGCCTGTGGGAATTCAGCACCAAGATGCTAAAACTGTCTTTTGCCACCATTGCTCCCAGCAGGACCCACTGCCCTGGGGTGACTCTGAGATACATTTTATTTAAAATATTTAAACCTGAATCAAAAATACTTTTTTCTTTTTTTTTTTTTTTTCTTCTCTGAACTTCAGATTAACCAGTGGTGAAATGCAGTAACATAAAATATATTTTGCTTTGTATCCTCTTTTAATTCTCTCCTTTTTTCCTTTTCCACCTACGCATAAATACACACAGTCTTCAATATCACAAATACCATGGAAAAAAACAGAAATCAGAAAGTTGGCAGAAAGGAATTTCTCTCCTCAACCTCTTTTTATGTCTCTCAGTCATCTTTCACTGAATAATATAAGACTTCTATATTAGGGAAAAAATATGTTTTCAGAATTTTGAGTTGAATATTGTATTTAAAAATGTTACACGTGTCCCAGTAAACAAAAAGAATATTCATATACTGCACAGTGACACTGTCTTCTCAATCACATAATGGTGCATGATTAGCAATGAGGAATCTTCTTTTTATATTATGTCCTTAGGATTTCACATCTCCCAAAAAATACTGAATGTCTGAAATTTTCTTGACATTCCTACCCACAATTCTTTCTCTGAAAAATATGGAGGAAAATTAGTAACAACTAACACACTCCCAGGAACCAATGTGCTTTCTAAGATGGTGATGTTACTGCAGCCACTTTTCTGGTCATTCATAGCAGCCACATCATATTGGAAGGTGTATTCTGATAGAACCACCATGAGGCAGTAGAACATTTAACCTGCAGCTGGTAAACTCAAGAACTTTGCTGTCTGAACTTGAAGCAAGTCATTAAAGCCTGTAAATTCAAGATGTAGTGTTTCAGCCCTTTGTCACATTATGGACAGCATTTAACATTGATTGTTTGATGGTAGACAGGAACATTTTTCATCACTGGTCAAATAAAAAAATTCCTGAGTTTTTTCTTCATACATCCGGAGAGCTGTAAAACTAACCAAGGACAAATATGAGACTGCTGAAATATGAAACAATTAAAGGAAATCCCAGCTTAAATCATAATCTCCAGATGGAAAGGGTAAAAAAAAAAAAAAAAAAAAAGTTTCACTGGATGTTTATTTTTTTCTTATTCTTTTTTTTTTTTCCAGTGAACTCTGATTTTATTTCAAATAAGAATATTTTGTGGGTTCATGCAGGAGAATTCAATATATACACACACCTTTGTTTCAGGATTAGGGCAAGCGCTGCAGTAAATTCAAAGCACCTCCCCTAATTTAATCAGTGCATTCAAAACCTTTAAGGACAGAATTAAATTAGTCTTTTCAAAGAGTAAAATACTGCTCATTTGGTTGGAATTGAACTCACATCAGTAATGTATTTGACATCTCATCATCCACATACCCCCATATCCCATCAGTCAGAAGTGACAGTGGGTTATACTTGCCAGTATAATGAAAGATGATGAGCATTTTTACCCATGAGGGTACCTTGAGCTATGATGATTTTATTTCCAGGAAAAGATACTTCTCAGTAAAGAAAAATGAAAGAACCTGTGGTGTTACCAGTTAAATATATTTCTGCAATACTCATAAAAAAAGGGAACAGAAATAAAATTAGTCTAACACTTAAAATAATAAATTAAGAAGAGTCTAGGATTTATCAGTCTGCTTTAGCTTTTTGTTGAAGATTACACAGGTTGCCCAGAGAAACTGTGGGTGCCCCATCCCCAGAAGCATTCCAGGCCAGGTTGGATGTGGCTTTGAGCAACATGGTCCAGTGGAAGGTTCCAACCCTGCCAAGACAGAGGGGTTGGAACTAGATGATTTTTAAGGTTTCTTCCAGCCCAAAACATTCTATTATTTTGTCTTAAGATGTGATATACTGTAGACCTTTTAGGTAAATTCTGTTGCCCAAATTAGCAATTCTTCCTTTTTCTTGCAAGAGAAAGTAGTGGAAAGACAGTTTGAAACTGACCTGAGAGAGCCTCCTGCTTAGTCAGTATAAACCCACATCACCTTCATTAATTTATAACTTTGTTTGCTGCATTTTGCATTTAGGCATTGTGGGTGTGTGGCATAGTAAGACGTCAGGTTGTGCAGTTTCTCTGATCTGCTTCTGATAGTTGCCCATATCAGATGTTTTTTTCTGAGGAAAGCAAGAAAACACCCATCTTGGAACACTCTGTCAAGGCAGGAACTCTCCTATTTCTCAGTGCTGTCGACTTTCCCACAAAGGTTTGTATTTAGTACCCTTGATTATGTGTAACGTGCAATTATTTGTACACATGTTCGTTTCTGAACTCAGATGCTTTTCAACTAGATTGTGTTCAATTCTTTTTTACAATGATCATCTCAATAGATGTAGTCAGTAAACTGAAATAATTTAATTTCCTCATTTTAGAACTTACAATTATTCAGTTTTGGTTTATTTCCATATGCTCTTAGAGCACAAATCTAACCCTAGTCAAGAACAATTTATTTTGTATATTTTTAACATGTATTCTGGTATCAGTGTCCCAACTGAAACTAAATAATCCCAGAATTTGTTATGAAGTTGTATCTTGTTCACAGTCATCTGAAAATCAGATCTTTTTAATTTAGGTTCTTAGCCCAGTATTTGATACGCCATTTTAAGCACAAACTTTGAAAACTACATTTCCATTAACCATCAGGGTGTCTTTACTCAGTATTTTTAAAAACAAAAGAAAACTGAACCGTAACAGAAAAGGTTCAGCCTTAAAATTATGCCACATCCAAATCTTAAGATTGGAATAGTCCTAAATTTAGGAGATTCTAAATATTCATTGTGAAAAATAAATATAGCTAATTCTGGAGTTGGGCTTGTTTGGGGGATTATAGTATAAGGGAAAGAAAACTCTCATACACCTCTTCAGAGAACAGAGGTTTCCATTCACTGCAGAATGTTTAAGAAAATAGTTAAAATTTGGTTCTACAAAGTCATATATTTTATCCATGTCCATTGATTCTCCATAAATTCTAGGTCTATGTCGTTAAACATCCTGGCTATTTTCCTTATGTAGCTATGTTGTTATTGCTATATGTTATATATAGCAGCAGTACCTACCGTTCCATTGGGGAATTAACACTGCATTGTATTAAATGTGTCCAAGCAATTAGCTCAAAGCCTGTTTGTGTTCCAGGGAACTCGTATTTCAGATTGGAGTGTGGAAAGGAAAAAATTTAGTTACACTGTCAGGCCCATCTAGTTCCTCAAACCAGCCAAGGAACAAAGGTGAATACTTAACCATTCTCTACACTAAATGAATATCCTAAAGAATTGGTGTCCATTAAAAATCTCTTGATGCATTTCTTTCTTATTTCTTTTTTATTGAAAATTCCCACCGTAAACGATTGCTTTTTGGATGTTGAAGGAATGTCTCCAACACAGAAAATCCTTAAAGGAAAGAGAAAGGAATTTTCTTCTCTCTATCTCAGGAGTTCAAAAACTTTCAGAGAAGGAGGTAATTTGGTATTGTTCTGAGTCAATTTGCTGTGGCTGAGGAAATGACGAGAAGGAAACTACTTCCCTGTCTCGGGAACCGTGTGGTGTTCCAAGATAAGGCAAGCACTTACTAATTCGAGTCCACAAGCAGGAAATGTGATACATCCATTTCCTTTCAGGCAAACAACACAGTTCTGTGGCAGCACAAAAGCTTTGCTTCTAGTGCAAAATCTTCAACATTCAGAAAACTATTGCTCTTCTGTGGACGTAGCAATCTGTGTTTGCTATTTGGATGTTATGGATAAGAACAGTACTTTTCCTCCAATCACATGGCCACCAAAGTTTTGGGGTAAGGATATTGATTTTTTTTTTTTCCAGATTATTGCTAATGTAGAGGCAGATATTTGTTGTTGATTGCCTTAAAAAGTACCTCTATATACTTTCAATCCTCATGTTGGATGCAAGAGTAATGAATAGGTTTTGTATTTCCTGCAGTGATAAGACTGTTTTCCAAATGTTTCTTTGACAAAGTTTTATCGTGTTTTTAAATGAATGAAGACAACAGAAGCTTCCAGGGCAAAATTGGTTGTTTCAAAATGTTCATTACTGCAGTCATTTGAAAAGGTGTCTGTTGGCTTCAGTCAATAGTCAAATCAGGTAGACATCCTCAACTGCTTAATGAATATACCTACAAAGAAGACATGATCTGTTTCATCTTTTGATGAAAATGGGATAGCCAAGGCTAAATGTGTTTCAACATTTGGAATAAACTCTTATTCCTCCAGAATGAAAAGTTATTTGTAATTTATTGCGCTGCCACTTAGTGAGATTTTCCTTATTTTTTCCTCAGTGTGTATTTAGATTATTATCTATTATGGCCGTTTTCTTTCACCCAAATCTGGGAATAATTCATAAACTGAAATGTATAGTATGAGGTGAAAGTACATTTTATACTGAAATTCATTCAGGGTAATTAGATGAATTGATTTATCTTAAAGGATTCTGTGCAATTGCTGTGGAAAATCTTTCCCTCCAAAAAGGTCTATTGCTTGCTATGTTTAATATTAACATTTATGAGCAATTATCTTAGAATGAATCACGTATCTGGTTTTCTCTATTATATAATTGCTACTGAGCAATGATCCCTCCAAGAATCTGAACACTATTTAAAACTAAAAAATAACATACATCAGCAAAATACAACTTCAGTTGCACAGAAGTGCCCCAGGAAAAGGGTGGGAAAAAAAAAAAAAACATACAAGAGGATGGAAAGAAGTCCCTTTTCTTTCCTGTCATAAGGAACAAGGATCTGTTGAATGTCATCTAGGCTTCTTCCAGTGACACGTCTTTTCCAACTGAGAGACCATGAGAGACTCACCTAATTTTTGTCTCTTGGGCTAAGGAGTACTGATACTCAACATCTTTGATAAATACTTACAGATTAACTGAAGAAAAATTACCCTCATTACTGTTTCAGAGTCTTTTCTGTGGAGGTTGTGTGCTGGACTCTGAAGAACAACAATCATTTTTTTTACAGTGAAGACAGATGTAATTCTAAAATGGCTCTTTCACAATAAAAACTTGCTGCATTTGACAACCCAGAGCAGGACACACCTTAGCAGACTTATTGCTGAAAGGGCCAGCACCTGCTTTTGTCCTCATTGCTCACCTGGCTTCTCTGACACTGTACCCAGCCCTGTCACATCCCGTCTGCTTAGCGTCTGACAGCAGATGAACCTCAGAAACTGGATTTTTGTGAGGAGCTTGCATGGTCCTTGAAGGGGAAGTTCCCTCTCAGATTTCTCTTGCTTTTCTGATAGACTTTAGAGAAGATAATATAATTTTCTCTTTGTTTACTGTAAGTATATCATGTATGATAGACTAGGAAGGGCCACTGTATAGTATATGTTACAAGATGATGACTGACATAAGCTCACTCTGTGGAAACATCACTTAAAATGATAGAAATGTGTTTCCTGACATCGTGGAGATACATGACTTGAGGTAAAAATAAAACCTCACATAATAGATATAAATAAAATTTAGTCCTTTATTAAATAAGAATGCAGGACTTCGAACTGATTTTTTAGGACATGGCTTACAGGCTGTTTTCTAAGCCATCCACCATGCAGTACTGTGAATGTTACTACATTACCATGATACATTCCTTCTCCTTGCTTGTGTGATTTCTCAGCATCTTCCATGGACTTAGCCAAAGTGTAAACTTCAACATATGTGCAAAGGTTTCCTGAGAGGGACTAAGTTTGTGAGAGAGAAATCAGTGCTGTAAAAATAGTCAAAGCAACTGTTCATGATGATGTTTAAACTCTTACACTTTTATAAACCATCTATTGTCTAACAGCTGGTTCCCTATGCTGGAAAATATACAGGCATCCTGTTTTCTATAGTTGTCCAGTTTCCAGTGATAACTTCACACAATAGCTTCTTAAAAGTGACTTTAAGAATTTTAGAACAATGAACAAACTAAGGTGTCCTCTGCTTACTAATGTGTGAGCACACATAAATCTTTTTACAATTGCTCCAGGCCAGTGGAATTGTGCTTTAAGCAAGCTGTGTAGAGAAAAACAAGAAATAAACACCTCAATATAAGTCATTCTGTGTGAGTTGTTTAAGTAGTCTAAACCCTTTCTCTCATGCAAAGATCTTAAAAAATGATAATATTAAAAAAGGATCAGTACTTATTTTTTCTCAAGGTCTGTTTAAAATCAGTGACAGACTAGAGAGTCAATAACTGTAATGACTTAGCTGTAGACCTTGCAGGAATTCTTCTTTGAATTCAGATGTCACCATCACCAATCTGCAGTATTTTTGGAATGCTAAATTATGCAGTGGAGGAAAACAAAGGAAAAGAAAAGCATTAAACTCTTCTTCTGTTTTAAATTAATGGGTTTATGATAGAACTCCTGGCCCTGTCAGCAAACGCCCACTGTGTGTAATGTGTCATAAGCAAAAAAATTTTAATCCTGGCTCTCGCTTGGCTAGAGCTTTTCCCTACTACAGACGTTTCGCAAAGTATTTGTAGATATCCATGTCTGTTTAAGATAAGTTGTCTGAGCTACTGCCAGGATGCAGGAGCTCATTTCTTTAGGTTCCAGCTTCTGTGGAAGCTAGGTAACTGTTGCCCACCCTCCTTTGCAGTGGGAATCCATTGTATGATACTTTGGAAGAGGTAAGAAGAGAAGCACTTAAAGCCAATCCCTGCTGAGCTCCAGCACTGCTGATACCACATTGTAACTGTAAACAGAGAGCCTGGATTATATTTTTTATTACTAGTTTCAAAAGGAGGCTTAATAATATCTGAGTCAGAAATTCAAGGTTTGATAGCCATTCGTCAACTAATAATCTCACTTTCTACTGTTTTAATATAGTCTTTCTTGAGTTCATTTTGATTTATAAGATATTGGTGGGAGCAAAGATGTTTCCACTTAAACCAGGAGTGCATTTCTTGTAATTCCTAAAAGCATTTTCAGTTGCACACAAGTAAATACAATAAATATCTTCAAGACAATCCTATTTTGTCAGGATAGATAGCAATATAATTTCAGATCACTAAATTTAATTTAAATAGTACATTTGATCAATGTGACAGCAGTAGAGAGAAAAAGTGTAAGCAGATTTTAATCAACATTAACTTAGATCCCTAGCCTACCCTTCAGTCCAGTTTTATTCAAGTGTCTATTTAAAAATGCAACCTTAAAATTTACTAACTTAAAAGCTTTATGGACAATCTTTTCTTGAATCAGAATCCAGGGTGTTATTTATTTGGTGTGGGGAAATAATGCCATGTATAAGCTGGCTTCCAGCATTTTAAGATTGAAAACAGCTTGGCACATACTATAGACATTATTGCTTGGCTTCATAAGCTACAAATACACCCATGCTTTTAAATATACCAGATTTTGCCTGGTCTCTCCCTCAACCCACTGATCTTCTTATCATTAAAATGTGTCTGTTTGTTGGAAAGAAGTCAGACTATGTGCTCTGCTGAAAAAAACCTCGGCATTAGGGATGAGTGTATTCTAATGCCTGGTGCTGTGTTTATCGTGTTCCTGGTGTAGCAGCAATGGTGGCTAAGGGCTGTGCCTCATTCTCTTTATGCACTGGAGCAGCGCTGGTGAAGGGCAGAACTGACACGATCAGTATCACAGCTGCTGGGCACTGCCAAGTCCAGCCTGGGTAGCAATGGGGCACTACTCCCCTTCTGGGATCCTTCAGGAGTGGCAGAGTAGAAGCACAAGCAAGAGATCCTGTTCTCTGCAAGTAGGAAAAGAAGCATTTGTGTTGGCCTGTGGATGAGCCAGGTCAAGCCTCTTGGCTTGCACTCAGATGCCTGTGTCAGCCCACTTCCAGCACACCCACTGGGTGCTCTCCCCTCATTCCCTTTCCCCTGTCCCTATACTTTGTACACTTTCCATTCATACTTTAGCAGCAACAAAAGGCTCTGGGACCTGTCTCAGCTGTCCTGCTGGAGGTGTGGGCACAGAAAGACTGCAGTTTGGAGCCAGCTGTGGAGCACCTGACAGCAAATGTGGCAGTGATATCTTCTTACAGGCCACTACTGCTCCTAGTCTGGTGACTGAAAAGGACCAGCATCTCGGCACCAGAGTCACCCAGAGAGCCTTTATCCTGGTACTGCTGGCACTGCTTACAGGGCAGAGGATTTCAGTGAGCTGATGATGCAACTCCTTTCCTGGCAGAAAGGGGGAAGTAAAGTTGTGACATAGAAACACTTGTAGATGGTTGACAGATGACTGAAGGTTTTTTTCTTAGTAGAGAAAACCTTCAGGGTTGAAGTGGAAAAAAGAGGAAAACACAACAAAAATAGAGCTTTGGATTCAGGTGATCTATCAACCTCAATGCTGTATTTCCTGAATTGTTATTATTCTTCTCTTATTCTTCCATCTTTTCTTCCTTTTAAAAATCACCCCAGTGTGTGCATTTTTCCTGGTATTTTAATTCATGGCAATGAGCCAAAATAGAGCAAGGTGATTGCAGACACATCATCACCCGGAGTTTTTCCTTGTCTGTTTTGTTTTGTCAGTTCTCTGTGGTTCAGAAAACACCCAGTAATTTTAAAAGCGCAATATTTGACAAGATATCACACATCATAAGGAATTCATTGCACAAGGAATACATTTTTTCACAGGAGATATAATCTTTTTCTTCAGAGTCCTTGGGTTATATCACTGATGCCTACAAAAGTTTGGAAATGGGATGTGAAAAAAATTAGCTTCTTTCCTTTGAAATTATTGTAGTGGAGTCAGATGACTTCAGACTTTACAGGCTCCTGTTGTTGGAAGCAGCCCCAGTGGAAGAACAGAGACTGGG